TGCTTCTACTACTACAAAAACACAGACCCATTCCAGTTTTTGGATTAAAATAAACTGAGTCAGAATGTGTGGAGATCTATGGGGAAACGAGAGCTGCAAACATTGTCTGCAGAAAGATGGTAATATTGAGTTTGAGGGCTGATTACGTGAGTGTAACTCACATATTTACCTTAATCACCTAAGTTGTAATAACATCCTTATTTTTACCCTGTCTGGTCTAAAGCACACCAGCTGTCTAGAAGGTGTCCCCACCTCACGCAGCTGTTCATACAGACTCACACAGTGATCCAGGACAGAGCAGTGAAAAAGTAAGGCGCGAACAGAACCACCCAAAAAGTGAGACCCTCCCTGATTTAAATGCTCTCTCATGCAGAAACCAAAGTTCTTCCAGCCAGCAAAAACACCCCAACACTGCCACCACCCCAGGCCCTGTGCAAGCAGAATGTGTAACCAGAAACCAAAGGAAGAACAAGAAATGCCTTCATTAGCTCAGAATGATATTTATAAAACAGCTGAAAATGGGTTATGAGATACTAATAATTTTTCTAGCAGTTTTTAGAAAAGTTAGGTGGAGTATTTGCACTATTCCAGCTTTGTTGTTTTTTGTTTTCTTTACGACATATCTGGGGTATTCATGAATCCAAGCATATTAGAAGTCTATTGAAAACTTATTCTACCGTTTAGTAGATGCTGACTTTACAAAAGAGAATACAGCTCAAGCTTACATTAATTGCATTAGCTGGTGACAAGTAATTGAATTGAAGTTGAGCCAAATTAAATTATATAATTTAGAAATTCTGAGGTTAAGTAAGCTTAATGTTTTGCAGGTCGATATAGAACCTAATTCTGCAGTTACAAGCTTTGTACTGTCTAACTTTATTAGTCTCTCCTCTCATTGGGGACTTAATTATTTTGGTCCATTCTTCATTTGGTTCATTGGAGTTTGCATACATTTGTCCTTGCCCAGCTCTCTGAAGGTCCCCCTATTTTCCAGTCACGCTGAGGTCAACATTTTGACTTATTTCATGCATATATCTTTCCACCTTTTGCATGTCTCAGCATGCTTTTATTTTATTTATATTTTGTGTATTATACAGCACATGACTTCCTTTTTCAGATGATTCCGTAAAAATTCAAAAAATATCCACTGGACTTGGTTTTCAAGATTTGAAGACGTTTCGCCACCTCTCCAGGAAGCTTTCTCATTTCAAATGTCTCAGATGATCTTTTATAGATCTTGGGATTCTGTTTCTACCACTGATCTAGTTTGAACCAAGCTTCAGCTGTTAGATGAGTAGGCCTCCTATTTTACTCTAGTATACCCTGTTATACTACAGTGATTTATGACAATTTTGGTGACTCTAAGGTGTCATGGTTTGTAGGTTGCAGGTCCAAACCACCAGTGCTTACGTATCAGATCTGTTTTGTGTTGAAGGACAAGAAGATGCGTGAGTTTATTTGAAAAGTGAAGAAGTCCTAGAGCTAAACACAGTTAAATACTTATGAGTAGAAAAGATAGAAGGTGTTTTATCACTAGAGTCTTCACAGTTATTACCTGACAGCTAAACTTATAAAGGTAACAAGGTGGTGTTATAGTACTTACAGTATACAGCCTAGTGGAAGAAAATGGAGAATATGTAAGGAAATAAGCTGATAGAAATATAATTTGGAGGTCAGAAAGTTACAGTAGGATGCTAAGTACCGTATTTTTATACCGGGTCACCTCCTCGCAGTTCACCCAGCAGCTGGTAGGTGTTTTACATCTAAATAATCTAAACTGCAGGCACCAGGATAATAAAAGCGAACATATTCTGTTGGCAGATTTCTCCATTTTAAGTTAATTTATGCGTCAATAAACTGTTTCAGAGGAGTGATCACAGCGCTCTGTGTCATCAACGATGTGTCTGTCTCACGGCCAGCTCCCAGGTTTGATTAATACTTTGTAATAAATACATGAATAAAGCACAATCATACTCAGTTTTGCTCCCGCTCTATTTTTAAATACGCAGTAGAGGTACTTAAACGTAGTAGAGGATATTTACCGGTATATAAAACCCGCGCCCTATAATCCGGTGTGCCTTATGTGTGTGTTACATACAGTCATGGCACACATAACTGAGACTTTTAGTACGGTGCACCTTATGGTCGTGAAAATACGGTATTAAATATTTTCTTCTACACTACTGACTAAATCTGCACTCAGTCAAAGTCAAGTTCTCAAATTAGCTCCCTTTAACTTGGATTAACAAACAAACAATCATATAAAATTGAGCAAAGAAAGGAAGTACAGCATATTGCATTTTCCTGGATGAGGTAATTTTGCCAAACTTCTATGTCCTACAATAAAAAAACATCATTTGGAAAAGCATTTTCTTTAGATATTTGGAACTAGGTTTAAATTTACTAAAAGTTGTCTCTTTTGTAGACTCCAGTTTCGATAATTCAGCTATTCTCCCAAACATGTTGTTGTCTAAGCCAAGTAGAGCCACTATATCAAAGAGCAATGTGGGCTTGTTACGGGGCAAAGCGATCTAAAAAGATTAGATTTAAAAAGATGAGACAGAATTGAAATAGAAATATCTCAAGAACAATAGGAGAGTATGTCCTTATGCTTCAACCTCTTCCTCAAATAATTTGTATTAGAGTTTATTAGAAAACATTTAGTCTGTTTTGTTCATGTGCTCCACTTCGAAGATTGGTTAAAAAGGTTTGAAGAGAAAATAGCAGGAAAGTAATAACTTTGATCACTGAACTAAAACAGAAATTTACACTTAAAGGTGTAAAACATTTACCAGATTCCTTAATAATAACAAACATATAATTAGTGAGACATCTAAAATGGTGTATGATACTCAAAACAAAGTTAATCAGTAAGTTTAGCCATAGCAGTTGTTTTATTGTTACAGAATAGTAATAACTATTACTGACACTGTTCTGTTCTTCCCTGTAGAAAACATTCGATTTGAAAAAGTAGCAAAAAAAATACGTTTTAGCCTTCCATCACGGTGATGCAGTGTTTGTATTGGTTTCATGTGCAGATATGCTGTGTTTTGTCTATATATGGTGCTATGAGTTATGGTCACGTCACCACTTTAGTCTCATCTTTCTAAAGCATATTGTTTAAGTTGTGTTGAGCTTCATTCAAATGTGGCTTTGACGAGCTAAGCCCAGCTGGAATATCATTTTATCAATTAATTCTTGCCCTCAGTTTTTTCAAACAGTCATATTTATTCAGTGTTTTTATAATTGTTTTCTCATAACGTCTTACCTGAAGCCTCTAGATCAAGAGTATTTAACTTCAGGCCTTGAGGCCTGGTGTTCTTGAACTTTTAGACTCTCTGGGTAAATCAGATAGCCGAATATTACCTTGAAGTTCTCTGGAGTCCTGCTATTTACCCACTTTTTTGACTAAGGTGTGTTGTAAATCCCTTTATTGTCCCGAAATGGGGAAATTCACTCATTGCCTTTGACCCACAAAGCTCTTTTTTCATATTTTATAGACTTAAGCAGCTCCCACATTACTGCACATAAGGGCACGTTTCAAAGATTGTCGAACCCCTCTACTTGAGGCAAATACTCACCCTCAGCCATTGTGGGGGTTGGTTGAAGCCCCCTTTAGCAGTTGAGAACCATGGCTTCATCCTTCACACAAGATGGTTAACAACTCCAGTTTAGGGTGAAGGTCAAGTCTTGAAGATAATGAGGTTTCTAGACCCAACATTGTCCTATTTATGACTACATCTCTAGATCCCATCCTTGTAAAACTAAACTGAACTTCTATCCACACAGGGAAGAAGCTAAACTTTATTCTGAGAACAAAGTTTTAGATGAATTTGATGGAATGTCAAAGCATCACTCTTTCAAAGCCATAAAACTGGGCCATGGAAGACCTCCTGTACACCAGCTTTAAAAGATAATCTGACCCTCTTCTCCGGCTTTAGACTTCAGAAAAATGCCAGGTATCGACTGTAGTTTTTTTTTTTTTTTTTTTTAAAGAAGAGGGATGGTGATTTATTATTTATTTTTTTAAGCATATATAGCCTAATGAATATAGTTTATTAACCTAAAGCAATATGCATGGTATGGTTGTTACATGTCAGGTACGTCGGTCATTGACCTTGACCAAGGCACCTTACAGTAGAACTGCAGTCTGTCCCTGGACTGTCATGGTTGTCATTGAACCTACATAGTTAGGGACTAATGGGGGGGACAAATTTCCCACTAGGATAAGCTTCATAGTCATGGTAGGGCACTCCTTTGATCTTATTTATTTTGCTCAGGCAACTTGTAAGCCCACAGCCTGCCAAATGTTGAAAGGGCAATATTATTGCCATTACTGTTAATATATTGTACACATTTTACATATTAAGTAATAAAATGTCACAGTGGATTGTATGGGGGGATGGTCATTTAAGAAAGGGGATGATTTTTAAGATATTTTTAAGAAAGGGGATGCTACCCCCCCTCACCCCCCCTCAACTCGAGTACTGGGTATGAATGATATTTCCTCTGACTTTCAAAAATTTCAGCTCTTGGTTTGATTTTAGGTTTCTTTGTGGATGTAAACTGCTCAGATTGTCCCTGAAAGTATAAACATACTGACTGATATTTTTCTCCCCAGAAAAGTGTTACAATAAATCTGAACTATCCCTTTAACGCTTGGCTTGTTTCTTACATGGTGCTCTTAAACTCTACCTCGGTGTCTGTAAAACAGATGAAGGCTGGTTTACAATGGCAGATTTAAAATCATTTTGGGTTTTACTTGCATAATTTCAGCATCTGCTCGGGATCCAATGATTCATTTGATCGTGTCTTCATATGTGAAACTTAGAAAGTGGGGGGGTATTTTTGCTGATGAATCATCTTGGGGTTTGTTGCTTAACTCTTGTTTGCCTCAGTGAAAAATTCCTGCTGAAAGACGTCCCTTCTCTTATTTTTTTTTCACGTGAAACTCCTCTTGGACACATTGTGGGCGGAGGAAGTTGGGTTTGGATGTCAACTATTTTGTGTGAGGGCAAAAACCTCTTGTAGAGTTTGCAGACCTCACCATCCCTCCTTCCTGCGGTCTTTAGTGTAGCCCCATCTGGTCCACAGCTGAAAACCATTAAGTCCCGCTGGAACTTCCTGCTCTCTGTTCCACGGCAGTTTAAGGACAAGTAAGTTTTTTATCTCAGTTCTGCTATTGTCTGCCTGCTTTTCTCCATGTTTCTGTCTTACTGCAGACGCTAGATCAGCTTTGAGTTGATAAGGTCCGTCACGGTGGTGCATTCGATGGAGTGGAGTCAACGTGCCAGACGCTGATAGAGCAAGCCGGGCGTTTAGATGGAACAACAAGACGCCACCGATAGACAGCAGAGGAACTACGGGTTGGAATCTGATTGTTGTTCTGATGGCTCGTCTTTTAAGACTCTGTGGGAGTAAAGAAAGGAGCGAGGGAGATTTGTTTTTTCTTTTCTTCTCTCTGAGGCATGTTGGTCGCACAATACAGAGCTAGAAACCTGCTCCCTTTAACACATATGGCTAAGATTAGTGAGTAAGCCTAGAGGTATTCAGAACTTTGCAACGTCTCCATCTCTTTTAATGCATTTTCCGGCCCTGGCGCTGTAAAAAAAAAACAGAAATTCACTTCCATATTCATGTTTCAGTCCAGGAGAAAAGTCAGCTGAAGTTACATCCAGAAAGGTTATTTCTCAGCATAAATTCCAGAAGTTTCCTTCCCCTCAGGTATATTTTTTCTGACTTTGTTTGTTTATACTAAGATTTTCTGTTAGTAAATGCTCTCCTGGTTCTAATTTACTGTGTTTTACAAGAGAATTTTTGCAGACAGATTTCTGAGGTGTTGCAGCTGGTAAACACCACACAGGTAAACGGATCCTTTGTAGCTCGTCGTTGACTTTCTGCGCTCATTTCATAAGTGCATAAATGTTTAAGCATTTTTGGCATACTTTGAAAGATTTCATCAGAATCTCTGCAGACGAAATGCACTTCAGCTGGTAAACACTGCAAGGAGACTCTGAAGGTTTGCAGACCGGTGTTAACTTTATGTGTGTTTGCGTGTGTGTGTGTCTCCGGGTCAGCGGATCTCCCACAGGGATTTTGTTGAATCACCAGACAGGAAGCTATTAAAACAAGCCCAGCAGGGCCGCTGTCAGTCAGAAAGGCCGTTATAACAGAGAAGTGTGGATGGGAGAGGCTTCACCGCATCAGACTGTGTCACAAACAAACAGAAAGGTTGGTCAGCTTTGTCTGCAGCAAGATGTTTCCACTGTGTGAGGTTTGATTTAAATAACTTGAAGCTTTGAGTGGTGATTTAAACCTGCTTCAGTTTACATGATGTTGAACATGAAGTTTTAATTGGACTTCTAAGATGGGGATATAATTATAATCTGCTTTTTTAAGCAGCTTATCACTGTCTTAACCTTCCGTTTACTTATTTATGTTCCTGTACTTTATCCTTGATTCTAACAGGATTTGATAAAGATACCAGAAACATGAAAGGACAGTTGTGTTTTTGTTCCAAAATATTACCAAAAGAAGTAAAAGCAGTCGTGTATTTCAACCTAAAAAGGATGTTATCAAAAATATTGTGACAGAACAACAAGGCCACTGCTGCCAAGGTCTTTAAGCAGTGTTTTGATACAGAGATCTGCAGAACTCACTATGAAGTGTTTCTCTTTTATTCAAAACAATAAAGGCATTCATCCTGGACATCCTCACCCTGTATTAAACAAAAATGCAAGTTAACTTTTCCAGCTGAGATATTCTGGAAGTCTTTGCAGATGGAGGAATGTCCAAGTCCCCACCCAAAATCTTGTTCCACTTTAACGTTCTGCAGCTTTCCCAGGATTTCAGCTGGAGGGAAAACCTTTTTAATGTGATTTGCAAAGTGCATCTAGACAATCTTTAGCCTTGTGGTGTTTTTCACTTCTTTATCTTAAAAACATCACAGCACAACAGAATCCACAACCATAATAATTTTAGTGTTATTTTTTTTTCTTATTATATTTGATGATGCAGAGAAATGCAAAGCATAACTGCGAAAGGAAAATGGTTCAACATTTGCTTTGCATCAAAATTTATAATAACTTTTCAAAACAGAAAAGCTTTTGCAGTAAATTAATCTGCAGCTGAATGTGTACAATAACCTGAAATAACTGTGAGCCATGAAAAATAAAGCTTCCCCGTAGAATCTAAAAAAATATGTAATAATAAAACTTTGACCATGGTTCTAAATAGGGGTGGGTATTGCCAAAGAAGTCACGATTCGATTCGAATCACGATTCACAGGCCACGATGCGATTCTATCACGATGCATCAAGATACTTGAATTATTGCGATGCATTGCAATATTTTCTCCTCCATGTTTTGTTTTTGAATGACTCTGCACAGTATCCCGCGGCCAGAAATGCTTGTGACACAAGGCAGCTAAGTCAACACATTTGCAGCGACATCTACTGGACTGGAAGTTGTATTACACTTGTTTTTGGCTGATGTTCGCCAACCATTCATGCAATTTTATTTATTAATTTTTTAAAATTAATAATCGATACTTGGCGTCAAGAATCGATGCAGTAGATCACGAAAATTAGAATCACGATGCATCATCATGACGATTATTTTGCACACCCCTAGTTCTAAATGTACTTTCATAAATTCATAAATGAAGTGAAAAGTAGTAGTCCTGAATTTATTAATTCATACCAGGGAAGGCTAATTTATTACTTTTGCACCATTTAAACAAAAGGAGATCTGCAGTTTTTTACAGGTAATGAAAGAATCGATTTAAAGATACAGTTTATAATTTTTTTTCTTACTGAAAAATATCATCAAAATAGTTTCTTTAGGACTAAACCATTGTTTGAAGAGCAGACTGACACTTCAGTAGTGCAGCGTTGATACATCTATAAGCCTGTAGCTTATTTTCCTGTATTTACTACAGGTTGGTAGTTTCTCTGCTGTTCTGCGGACGTCAAGCGTGTCCATTTTAATTGGGTCTGACCCAGAAAACAATTAAAGTATTATATTCAAGATACTCCACGTAAGGTGAAAAAAGTTCGTGCTACAAGAACAAACAGAAGAGAGCTGCAGCTCTGTGATCTGGCCACTGCTGGCAATATCATTGGAAAACCCCTTAATGCCTCTTTAAGTTTAAATATTGAATTCTTCTATTACTTTATTAATCCAATTATTTAGTCAAAATGTTTTAAGCATTGATTTAAAGGAAATAAGTTACGTATTTAAATCTTCTTGGCCAGTAGGTGGAGCACTAACCTTCACCCACTCTCATTATAGCCTTGAGTTGCACTGGTTGCCACCCAATTGCCATTGTAGCTACCAGATCTGCTCAGGGGCCCGGTCGCTGCTGATGATGTCACAATACAGCAACACCACTCGGACAAAATCTATTGCATCAGTTTCATAAAAATCTAATCTTTTCTCAGTCTCAACTTATCAATACCTGCATTTACAATTATTTTACAATTATTTCCCTTGGCTACCTAAAGTAGCCATAAGTAGAAAGCATTTGCATTTTGTATGCACCCTGTGCATACAAAATGACAAATAAAGAAGTCTAAGTCTAAGTCTAAGCAATGATTCTCAGTCTTGAATGCAAGTATTACATTGTAAGACGGACTAAGATATGCCATATCACTAGAAGTTTCATTACTTCATTTTATAAAATGCACAGTGTAGTATTTTCGCAAATTTTTGAAAAGACCCGCCCTCTCCCCTAAAAAAAAAAATGCACATGCAAAATCTTGTACCCACTCCCAAGAGGGAACGCCTATTAAACACTTGCAAGAGCGTGCACGAGCCCATTTCTCCTAGTGCACACTCTCGCTCATACAAGCTTACTTTCCAAAAGAAGATTTGCAATTTTTCCTCTATGTCAGACTTGCCACCGATAAGTGAAAATAGGGACACGCACGTAAGATGGCCTTATGTAAACATATATCCAGAATGATTGCAAATTAGGAGGACCACATATTTTGATGATCCACCAGGAAAAAGAACAGCCTCCACTATACCTTTAAGATCTGAGGGCAGGGGAGCACAGATGGAGCATGTTACAAAAAAATATTTTTGTGGAGATTGTAGATTAAAAAAGGCAAGAGTTATTCTACTTGCATGAATTGGATGGTTCTTGTAGACAGCTAAAGTTCATTTAGCTTGATTAAAGTAACTAACCAAGCTAAAATAGGCTAAACCGTTAGTTATGGAGCAAAGCTAGTCATGTCGCTCATCAGGTTTGCCCTTTAAAGCATATTATATTCTTGCAGTTACTTGGTTCGGCAGTTTTGTGAACATCTCTTATTTTTAGGTAGTTTGTTCCAGAGCAGAGAATCATTGAAACTAAATGCAGCATCATCTTGTTTAATTCTGGTTCTGAGGAAGTAGGTCTTTGAAGACTAGAGGAACCTTGAAGGTTTGTACCTTGGGCCAATAGCATCAGCTTGAAGTCCGTTCTTTTACAAACAGGGAACCATTGCTGTAATCGTAGGCTGTTTTCGCTAAGAGTCTTCCACTGGGTCTGTTTATCAGCATTCATAAACAGTATAAAAGCAAATAATATATGACTACCACTGCAGACCAATCAGGACATAGTTCATGGTATGGAGTTTAATGATCTGGTCTTTTTTTTAAAACCATGCTTCCACTTCAGCGCTTCAACTGTTTTTTACCCTCTAATCTCTCATATTTCTTTTATGACAAGAAGAAAAATGCCAGACATGGAAAAATGTACTTGGTATTTCTGTTTGGGGTTATTGTGTTTTTGAAAAAGCAGAGTTCTGAGACGCCCATAATGAAGGGGACCTCCCCTCAGTATTTTTTCCCGCAGCCAAATAGTAAGGAGTATTGATTGTGGAGCGAGCTGACAGCGACCACTCCGCCACCGTTTGTCCTTGTCGTTCTGCAGATTGCCCAACGCTCGTGGGGAATTGATGGCGTTTGAATAAGGGGTCACATTTAGAGTTTCTGCGGAGGTGGTCGTTTTTTCATTTGCAAAAGAAATCACCTAAATGTTTTTCGGGGGACATTGAAAGTGAAAGTGGAGAATTATGCTGTTTTGAGGCTTATTTGTATTTGCTCTTATCTTCACAAGGTTGGTGTGGATGGAGCTGTTTTGTACATTAATTCTGACCTTGTGTCATGTTTTAGAACCCAGATAAAGACTTCTATGGATGCTGGTTTTTCAGAAGAAAAGCTTAGATTGAACAAAACTCCACAGAAGAACCTAATAATGAACATTTTGACCTAAAACATCCTGTTTTCTCAGTATGGCCATGTTTCAGGGGCACTTTCCACTTGGACAGAGTGTGATGCAAGTTAGTGAGAGATAAATATAAATACAAACCTTTTCAGACCCTTTTCCCTGAATAACTTTACCTCATTCTGGCATGTTGGAGCATTTGCTGTCTTGTTTTTCTGGGACTGTTTTAAACTTTCCGTTGACTTTTAGCAAAGGTTTGAGGTTGAAACCTTTTTTAATTCTCTGCCCCCACTGCTTTTTACAGGTGGTGGATTGGCAGACGGTCAGGAGGGACTTCAGTGACGCACATTTTCCATTATGAACCGCGCTTTCAACAGGAAGAAAGGTAAGCAAAACCACCCTCCTCAGTAAGTAACTGGTTTTAGGTCTGAAAGAAGGCTGGTTTTCATCCTGTCGGGTCAGGTGTTCCCAAACATCTGCAGTGTTTCCTAACACCCTTGTCTCAAATGGTTCAGTGATTTTTTTCTACTATATTTTATAGCCACAATGATATCTTTTTTTTTACTTTCTAAAAAATGTGGCTCAAAAAGGGGTTTTTGCTATGCGAAGGTGCAACGCCCCCAAAAGCACCGTCAGCATTTAAATTACTCCGTTCATCCCACATACTGCTCTGTTCTCTCCCACTATCTTCTCCGTGAACAACACTTGGCTCTACCAATGGGATGAGGGTATTCTGGATTGTCACATATATGTTGTCAGCTCATTGCTCACAATGTAGGATGGGACAAAGTGTGTTCCTTTTCCCCTAAATATGGGACAGGTACTTCTATTTCTAAATACGGAACAATTCCGTTTTTCAAGGGACGGCTGGCAACCCTACTACAGATGCTTCCCACTCGACACACTGACGCTGCGTGATGTTATTATCATTGTCTGGGCAACCACAACGTTTTAAACCATGTGGCAACGTTCAGCCAATAATGTAGCATAGGTCACTGGCATGCGCATGGCCAGAGCAGAGCTTTTACGTACAACGAATTGGAGGTTTGGTTGAAACTCGTCCCCATTGTTAGTGGATTTGAAGAAGGGCGGATTTGACACAAAATGACATGTGGCAGGTAACATGTGATTTAGGTTGGTCTATTTGCTTACCAGTCAAACCCAGTGAAACCACAGTCATTAAAGCAGGTATTGGCACTTAATGCCATGTTGGCTATTATGAATTCAGCATCCCCATAGAGCTTATAAAGCTGGTTTAGGCACCACTCTTTCTCCAGCATCCAAGACCTTGATTTCCAAATAAGATGAAAGTTTTAATGCAAAGGAGGGTTTTAGATCGATGGACATCAGACAAATCCTTTCTGTCCTTAGCACTCAATCCTTTCCATATTAATGTTTCTGGATCTGAAGCTTCAGTTGTTTTTAAACCATTATCTTTGTTTATGTGCTTTGTGTGCAGCCAATGTATAGTTGCAATTTTTAAAGTGAATTAAAAAAAGTATGTTTTGTTTGATATTCTGACCCTAAACATTGTGTGAGGGGCTCTTTGGTGGAGCTCTAGCCACCTCAAAACCTTCTGCTATATCTAGATTTACAATTTTAAGTGTAAAGGTTTTTGTTTTTTTCCTAAACAATTTACTACAGCTTTCAGATTTTTGCATTAAAAAAAAAATCATTTCAATGCTTTTTTTTTTCAGATGATTCAGGGTATCACCTCAATGAAGCCCACCCATAACATTGTTCTAAACTCATTCTCTGGCAGGACCGTGGAGCATCTTGCCCCCAGATGTTCTTTGCAGCACTCTGTCTTTCTGCTAAAGATAAAATTCACAGTTTGTGAAACAGCTTGGTGTGTTTCCCACCATGTGTTTCATGAATATGAAAGAACCTCGGCCACACTGGGAAAATGTCCAGAATACAGGTGGTTCCATGTCCTTAAATGATTTTTACCTTCACATCACTGATCCCCATTAGGTCTGTTTCAGTCGAGGCAAAAATAAGGTGATGTGGAGGTGTAGCTATTCAGACTTGATAACACATTAAATTTATATTTTATAAGTAATATGCTTTTTTATTCCTCTGCATCCTAGGAAATGTTGATCTGCCAAATGGTGCATGCTGAGAGATTAACAGAGAACAGGTTATAATACCAAGCTTTTAAAAAGGAGAATAGACCTCAACTGTTAAAAACAAAAGCTGAGAGACTGGCCACAACTTTCTGAACACGTCTTTTGGACTCCTGGGAGCTGCTAATAGTCTTCTCATTCCCCCATCAGACCTAACAGTGGGTTCAGTCCTTTCCTCTGTGCAAACTATGACAATTTCCTGGACTCCTCCATCTGCTCCCACAGCTCATCAAAACACCAACAGATGCCCGACCCTCCGGCCCTTTTGCACTTTATTTGTGCGACACTTGTTACAGTCAAACTGTTGCAAAAGGGGCCAAAAGGTCCAATAACATCCCTTTAATGAAAAAGCTTTTTTTCTGCACAGTGCTGGGAAACAAGCATGAGTCATGGGAGAAGCACCTGCAGACAGTTGAGCGTCCAAGCAAACAAAGACGCTTTCGTTCTTGCTTGACCTCTTTCTTTTCATACAGAGAACCAAATGTCAACACACAAATGTAAAGCTTCTCCCTCTTGAAATTTGAATGTGTATTTTTTTTTATGTTTAGATTGAAATCCTCCATTGCACTAAAAGACACGGTTTGCTGATAACGTTGTTTGTTGAGATTAAACAGCCTGTAATTTGTAAATATTGTGGGATCTGCAACATTTCCTCTCAAGCCGAATGAGAGTAACAAACATTTATTTGCTAGTTTCACATGAGATTATCTGAGCTAAATCCAAAACCTCGCTGTGTTTTTATTTATTCTCAGAGGGTTCTGATACGGATTCTGCAGTTTACCTCTCTTTCATCAGTCAGAACTGATTTGGGGATATGTAAATTGAATATTCCCCATACAACCTAACAAGTGTCTAAGCGTGCTGGAGCTTTTAAATAAGCCTGATTTTCTGACTTTACTACCCTGGAGGTTTTTGCTGAGAGTGTTTGAGGTTGGGCCTGACAGAAGGTCCATTGGTCTGATTTACCTCTTTATTACTGCGTGGCAATGTTCTGTTTATGTCCAGCAGGCACTGCCAGCAGGGCTTTAATTACTTTTATCTCTTAAGTTTGGAACCGTGTGATCTCAGATGTAATTCTCTATGAAAGTTTACCTCCGATATCTAATTAAGCATAAGCAGTGCTCACATAGCCAGGTCCCTTAAAAGTTCAGTAGAGTGTATCTGTATACCAGGCCTGCTTAACATTAGATGATCTTGTTACTGTAATGATATTAATCTTGCCATGGTGATATCAGGCGTGATGTGTCTTGTTTTTGTCTTTCGCCTTATTCTCATCTGTGCTCACGTTATTCTGTTAGCATTCCTGTTCAGTATTAGCATCTCCAGCTGTTAGTCTCTAACCGACTAGCTAAATATTACATTAACATGAACATGCAAGTTAGAAACACTCATAGTTTATAAAAGCCATCAATTATTTTGTTAAAGATAGGCTCTGTGTATGCAACTTGAGGCTTTATCTCGCCGGTTCTTTTTCCTGAAAAGAGATCACTCGGGACAAACTCTTTAAATAACACTCTGTAACTTGTATGTATTAAATAACCATGAGACGTAACAACAGATTCTGATAGAACTTGTAATCTTACTCAGATCAGAGAAGTTGCTTAGAGTTTACAGAAAGCAGCTGCTTACCTCTGGGCTCACCTCCCTGGAAGTGGCCACGATTAACAGTTAAAAAGGCATTTTATACATCTCCAGTCTGCTACATCATCACATCAATACATCATGCACGCTAGTAGATGAGGAGACATCCATGGCTCCAGCCTTATCAAAATATTACGCTTTGTTCTTAGCTGAAGGACATCACTCTTATTCCATTTCCAAATCTTTTCCACGTACAGAATGAAGATTATACTGTATATCTGGACAGAGGAACTGTCTTAATTAGATAAACTATTGTGGAAAACATCAGTTCTGACACGCAACAGGCAGCTAATATTAAGGTTTAATAAACTCACAAATCATCAATGATAATTAACCTAACTATTCCAATCGCCTCCCTCTGGAGGTGTACCAGGTGTGTCCAATTGGGAGGAGGCCTCGTGGAAGGCCCAGGACACGCTGGGGGGACTATGTCTCTGAGCTGGCCTGGTGTCACCACTAGGGGTGTAAATAATAATCGTTTTGTATCGATGCATCGATCCAAAAGCCGACGATCCGATGCATCGACACGTCCGCAAGATAATCGATTAATGTTTTTTTTTTTCCCTCCGGTCTATTTTTATCCATTTGCTCCTGGGCGTAATTCTTCCTCCCGTGCTGCGGTGGCGCTAAACCTATTTTCCCCTCCTACCGCGCTTCCTGGTTATACTCTTACAGCAGTTTGTTGCAGCAAGCTTCACACAGACATTTTTAAATTATGCTCAGTATTGAAGCGTGGTCTGGGCTACACGCTGTGGGTCTAGATACGGCCGAGGCGATGAGGAAGTGGGGGCGAGTTTAGTCCGACGACGGAGGGACAATGGGGCAAAAAGAGCGGAGATTCAGCTGGAAAAAGGCTCCCAGCGTTCTCGCGCACCTCGCTCTTCTAGCGGGTCAAACTTCACGAGTTGTTTTCCGCAATTTCGGTCATAAAAACAAAACTAGCCGGCCTCCTGTCTGGTGCACTGTTTGCGGTCAGCTACAATCTGGGAGAGGTGCAGCGGAGCGTCTCTCAAGGGGCGGTGACGTCAACACTCTGGAGCCTTCTTCTTTTTTTTAATGGCGGTAAGCAAACAACTTATAGCTGCATTACCGCCACCTTCCAGAATGGAGTATGGACCAGACAAACTATTATATTCTCCCTAAAATACCCGTTCTTCTTAGAAAATTAAAAATACCCCCAAAAACTACATCCCCAGATGACCTTTGAAACAATTCCCTTATATGTAGTTTATTTTTATTCCTGTCTAACTCTCTACACAACATCTCTCTTTCCTGAGTATATTTATTACATTCTAAAAAAATATGTTGGACAGTTTCTCTGGAGCCGAGGTATTGCATTGAACTCATTACACTGATATTGTGCAGTATTTTTGCAGTATTTTTTGATGCAACTTTTCTACTTCTGTTATTTGCTGTTGTTTCTAAAGAAAATGCATAATGATATTACAGCTTTCATTGATTTATTTCAAACTTGAAACTTTGTTTAGCCTGTAAGGTGTAAAAATAAATAAAAATAAATAATAATAAAAAAAAAATTAACCGATTAATCGATTAATCGAATCGAATCGAATCGTGGTGTATTCTTAAGTATCGAAAATAATCGAATCGTTGGATCAGG